TCATCCATTGCCTTGGTCATGTTTTGCTGACTTTCCCCATGTTGTGTCCTGCCTTTCCCTTCACCAAAGTTAACATGTGTCTACTCTCTAGTTAGTGATTTTCCCTCCTTCTCCCTCCCATCCCTGATAATCATCAAAAAATGTTTCATTCTGTGTGTAAACCTTTTCTTGCCTATTTGTGATAGTGGTCTCATACAGTATTTGTCCTTTTGTGATCGACTTATTTCACTCAGCATAATTGTCCTCTAGATTCATCCATGTTGGGTTTCACGGATTCATCACTATTCTTTATCGTTGCGTAGTATTCCATTGTGTGTATGTACCATAGTTTGTTTATCCATTTATCCTTTGGGGGGCACTTAGGTTGTTTCCATCTTTCCACTGTTGTGAATAATGCTGCAGTGAACATGGGTGTGCATATGTCTATTCGTGTGACAGCTCTTGTTTCCCTAGGATATATACCTAGCAATGGGATTGCTGGATCATATGGTATTTCTATTTTTAGCTTTTTAAGGCAGCATCATACCATTTTCCATAGTGGTTGTACCATTTTACTTTTCCACCAGCAGGGTATAAGAGTTCCAGTCTCCCCACAACCTTGCCAGCATTTGTTATTGTTTGGTTTTAAGAAGACTTCAGGGCATATTTTTGGTTTAAGGTTTAAAGGTTATATCAGAGCAGTAGTTTGAAGAGTTCATCCAGCTTCCATGGCTCTAGAAAGTCTGGATTTCATGAGAATTTGAAATTCTGTTCTGTACTTTTGCTCTTTTGTTCAGGATTCTTCTATAGAATCTTTGATCAGACTCTTCAATAGCAGTAGCCAATCACCATCCAGTTCTTCTGGTCTCATGGCAAAGAGGGCTGTTGTATATGGCGGCAATTAGCTATATATTCCATTTCCTCCTCCTGTTCCTGACTCTCCTTCTTCCTCTGTTGCTCCAGGCAAATAGAGACCAATTGTACTTTGGATGGCCACTTGCAAGCTTTTAAGACCCTAGGCTCTACGCAACAACCTAGGAGGTAGAACAGAAGCACTAAACACAGTATTAGGCCAGTTAACTGGGATGCCCCATGAAACCATAGCACATGTCTTTTAGTGAAGTTATATATATGTTCATTTGTTTTTAACTACCACTCAGGACTTTTTTTTTTTAATGAAAGCTTTGATTTCATTTTCAGTTAGAGATTTCTTACTGATTCTTTCATTGGCAGTAGGTTATTCTTTCTTAGAAAGAATTCCACCTGAGTCAACAGGAAGAAATGGTGGAGTAGCAAGTTGTAACCATAGATAGAAGTGCCTATAGAATAAAAGCCTGATTCTGTCTCCTTACTTTATAGTTACAAGTCCTTTTATATTAGTTCTAAAGAAACCTGACAAAAAAATAAGCCATTGCCTCTAAGTAAAATGGCATTTGACCTGTAAGTCAGAGGGCTGCTATAATTGCTACCTGTTAACATCAGTCCAGTTCTCTACAGTGCTAAGCATCCATGTCTCTCCAGGCTTGGGCAGGACCAGAAACCTTTTGGCATCAGATCCAGGGACACCAAATGAAGCCCCTGTTCTGAGGACCAGCCAGACCTCCACTAGACATCTGATTGAAAAGTTCTGGTTCTATAGAGATGATTTTATTATAGTGGCTCTTTTACCATCATTGACAAATATACAGGGTGCATTTTTCTTAAACTGAAAATACAGGTAGTCTTCATGAAAACGTGTTCTTTAAAAAATAAATGAATGGTATACTTAATACATTTTCTCAGTCTTTAAGACAACTTTATAAGGAAGTGCTTTTGTTATTTCCGTTTACAAATGAGTAGGTGCTCAGTAAATGAAAGTGTGCTTCCTTCCACGACAAGTCATAATGAGCTTTAGAAATACTGAACATCTGATGTGTATTTACTTCCTATGTTGTGGTCATTTATACCTCTTTCGGTTTTATTCTTTCCCTTAGCTTTTTCTTATGAGGTTGACCAATGTTAATATGCACAGACTATTTGCTTGTTTATAAGTTTTCCTTATTTTTAAGTGGCTACTCATGAAATCCAGTGTCTGGAAACCTAGAGCATCATTTTGGACCCTCTCTTTACTTCTTTCATTCAGTATATTATTTGTGACTTCACAAAAGGTGAAGCATGGGTACCTCACAAAAGAATGTGATGAAAGGTGTTAACTTAAAATAAAAGATATATAGATACAGATATCCTAGAAGCAAGAATACAGCAAGACACAGAATATGATACAGGCTTTTAACTCTTGGCTTTCTCCTTGACTTTTAATCATGAAACAGGAAATTCAGAACAAGCAGAAAGTAGGACCAAGTGATGACGCCCCTCGGAGGGGCCCAGAGTCTCTGCCTATGGGACACCACGACATCATCACGGATGTTGCCACGTTCCAGACAACACAGGGCTTCATCGTCACTGCTTCTAGAGATGGGATTGTTAAGGTCTGGAAATAAAAACTTAGTGATTTGTATTATTTGTAATAAAGCTATAAATATACTATAACTCAAGAGAAAATGTATTTCTAGAGAGCAGAAGTGAGCAGATTCATTTGTTTAATTTTCAAAATCATGTCTCTATATTACTGATTCATGATTAAATAAATTCCACCCAAGGTGGTTAAGGTAGTACTTGACTAGTATACCTGTGCATATATCTCTGTAAGATTTTATTGTATATGTCATGGAGGTGAGGAATTCAAATGCTAAGGCATATATGATCTCCAGTTACTTTGTATTGAATAAGATGGTTGGAAAGATGGTTGTAAACTATTATAATGTAAACACATTTTTGCTATTAAAAATGCTGTTCAAACCAGTCAATAAACTATATTCAAACATCTTAATTTTATTTTATTGTGCTTTAGGTAAAAGTTTATGGTGCAAATTAGTTTCTCATTCAAAAATTTATACACAGATTGTTTTGTGACATTGGTTGCAATCCCTGCAATGTGTCAGCCCTCTCCCCCTTTCCCGTTCTACCCTGGATTCTCCATGTCCATTTGTCCAGTTTAACTGTCCAGTCCTGCCCTCTTGTCTTTGATTTTGGGAAGGTGTCCATTTGGTCTCGTATACTTGACTGAACTAAGAATCATGTTCCTGACGTGTGTTATTGTTTGTTTTATAGGCCTGTCTAATCTTTGGCTGAAAAGTGGACTTCAGGAGTAGCTTCAGTTCTGAGTTAGCAGGGTGGAACCAAATGCACTACTGTTGAGTCGATTCTGACTCACTGCAACCCTGTAGGACAGAGTAGAATTGCCTCATAGGGTTTCCAAGGCTATAATCTTTACAGAAGCAGACTGCCACATCTTTCTCCCATGGAGCGGCTGGTGGGTTTGAACTGCTGACCTTGCGGTTAGCAGCCAGGTGCTTAACTACTGAGTCACCAGGGCTCCTTTAAGAATTTGTTTTGTTTTTGGTAGTGTTTTTAACAGTAAACTTTAACAGAGGGATAAACTCTGCAGCAAGCAGCATTTGTTCAGAGGCGAAGAGATGAACTGAGTCACAAGGAACCAGGAACCAGTAACAGAAGTCGACCTAATGCCCCACTCTCTGCACTCTCTGTAGTATATTCTTTCTGCTCTGCTATCCTGTCTTTCTTCCTGTATATTTTATAGTCTGCCTTATTAGTTATTTTCACTGTAGAATCGACGTCCTGTGTATCAGCTCTAGAGAAATGTCTCTCTTCTTGGCCATCATCACTGTTTTTTTATGGGCTTTACTATAAAATCTGAAACTTGGCCCATAAGCTTGCTTTTTTATTCAGTGTAGATTTTTTTTTGTTTGTTTAACACATGAAAAAGAAGGAAAAAAACAAAGGATTAAACTGTTAAAAACATGTCAGAAATTCATGTTAATTTTTAAATGACCAAAATTGATTTTTCCTATTAAGATAAAACCCATCAACGTTATGGATTAGCCTTTGTACACAGACTTAATTCTCGACATTTAATTCTTATCCACTTGCAGAAGGGTTTATTGTACTCAAAATATTTTAGTTTGAAATTAGTTACATAGGTTTGCAAAGCCAAAAACTTGGATAATCAGAGCATGGGGAAATTACTAGTTGTTTATAAAATACTCCAAATAATTAATTTTCTATAATTCACTTATGGAACGTGACAGTTTACAGTTCATATGTCTGGCTTCATGATATAATACACTTAGCGTTTAGATAAAGCATTTAGCCAAACAACAAAACTATTGGAAAACGCCAGTTGTTCATAAAGATCAAAGTTAGGAGTGACAGAATCTGACTAGGCCAGAGAGTTTAGTGGGTTGGTAGAATTTACAGATTTGTCATTGTCATGTTACATTGCTTCTACTTCCCTTAAAGTCAGTGAAGACCATATTTACAGGGTTTCTAGCTACTGAGTCGGATTTAGAGTCTGCAGGCATTGGGGAAAATTTTTTTGAAGACATAAACTGCTCTGCTGAGACTATGTTTCAGGCCTGGAGGCATTAGATAAGCTACAGGCCTGATAAATGGTGGGAAGTGCCAAGGAAAAAATGGAGTGGGCTGACTGAGATACAGTCCTTTTCTCCTTATCTTCCCACCCATTCTTGTCTCCCTAGATCCCCTCCTTTTTAAGAGGTCATTTGGTTTAATTGTTACTGAGTATTAAAATCTGATGCCATGTTGAGTTGCATGTCTTTTTGACGTCTACTTTTTTTTTTTTTTTTTAAAGTTTGATTCATAGAGATAATGGTATGCAGGAAGCATTAGTGCTTATTTGTGTGATTCTTAGTTTAAATAAGGTTTTATGTAATTTGCACTCAACCTTTAATTTTTGCTGCGTTCCACTTTTAGGAGAAAGAAGGAAATCATAGAAAATGCTCATAAAACCAAAAAAACCATACCTGTTGCTGTCGAGTCGATTCCAACTGATAGCAACCCTATAGGACAGAGAAGAACTGCCCCATAGGGTTTCCAAGGAGTGGCTGTGGATTCGAACCGCTGACCTTTTGGTTAGCAGCTAAGATCTTAACAACTGTGCCACCAGGGCTCCAAAATGCTAATATTGGGAATTTATTTTAAAAAAGGAATTTCAATTTGCAATTAGTATGCTTTAAACCCCTTACAGATTAATGATTAGAAAGCTGACCCAAAATGCTGAAATAATCTCAGTCACCAAGGGAATATTTGTTTGGTGTACTTTACTTACCAATGCAGAACAAAATAGACAAATACATTGTAAAAGTATTTCCAAAAATAAACAGAAGAAAGGGGTTTTTGCTTAAACCAAAGTTAACCAGAAAAATCCCTTTTAATTAAAATATTTCTTAAATATTATTCATCAATTTCCTGTACTTGAAATTTGAAGCACCACTTAGGAAAAATGAAGAAACCTGATGTGCTTTATTCTTCTCTGTTACCTGAGTATGAATATGTATAACGTTTAACTCTTTGGGATTCTTGCTCCTCTGAACTAATTGAGAACTATATCTATGGTGTTGCCTGAGTATGGATGGCAGAAGTGGTTAAAAGAAATACTGCCGATGGCTCTTCTTTACCAGGTTTTATGAAAGAGGCATAGAAAAGAGAAGATCGGATTGCACCTACTGGTCTTTAGTGTTGTTAATCATCTGACCATTCAAGCAGGACCTGTTCCCCAAGAGGGTGATACTCTGCCTAGCAGGGCCATTGCTACCATGTGTGGAGCCAGCTCTTAGAATTTCAGGTAAGGTCCTAATGTTGCGTCTAAATTCAGTCATGCTATGTTGGCATTTACTTGTTGAGAACATGCCCCATCGCAAGATTGAGAATTAGTTATGTGTTGTGCATGGATGTGAGGAGAGAGAGCGCTGTCAGAGAATGCTACTAGAGGCTAGGTGTTTTTGAAGACATTTCCTGCTTTAGCTCACTCTGATCTCTTCTGCATCTCTGCAGCCTTGTATGGGTTTGTAGATTAAAACAATACAATTTTCTTACCTTTTCCAAACTCAGTAAGTGTACATATAAACTCTTTTTGGAGCTCTGCTAATCCGTTTTGGTGCTGTTCACTAAAGACTAAATAGCTACCTGATGAGTAAGAGTAACTAGAGCTTCACCCATGATAAGTTGTGTCTTTGCTTGCTCGTCTAAAGAAAATATGGATTAGTGGAAAATAATAAATGACCATAATGAGAAAGAAAAAATAAAAATCCACCAAAATGGCCAGGCAGGAAGCTCTATAATGAAGAGGGAACTTCCACCTCAAAAGTGATAATTTATGTTCTGGAGGAATTAATGAGTTTCTTGGTGAGCTAAGGAGAATTTGGAGCTGGGGAAAATTACCCTCTGCTTCTCACATGTCTAAACAAACAACTGCAGAACATGTGAGGAAACTGTCAGCACAAGCCCATCCGAGGGCTGGTCAGTCCACAGAGGGACAGTGCATTTAAATGGAATAGACATAGAAGTTCATATTTTTGAAAATAGGACACAAAACAGCATCAATTTTTAGGGTAAACGTCAAAGCAGACCAAAACATTAAAAAATACCTCTGGTTAAACAGATGAACATTAAACAGTACTAAATTGAGGAAGAAGACTTGGTTTACAGAAAATGGACTGGAAAGAGACCTATAGTTAAAAAAATAGCATTGGCCCTTGTACACCATCAATGCATTTTTTAAAATTTACTTTCAAATTATATCTCCAGTAGACTTCTTTTGCTCTTCCATCTTCTAATGATAACAGTTCTTGAACATAACAGTGTCAAGAGTGCTAGAATTGTCAGGGGTGGTCAAATAAATGGGCAAGATATATCTTAATACCAATGAGTGCAAGGAGTCAGGTTACCTGATAACCTACAACCTGTGACTTGTTCAACACTCCAGAGTGGACCTCCAGATTCAGGCAGATAGCGAAATACAAAGTTGCCCAAGGTTCAGGCACTGGGCTTGGATTTAGTTATTATGTAAGTCCAAAGTCTTACCGTGCTTCCTAAAGCTAAATTGTTTGAGCACTCCCTTTATGTCATTTGGAAGCAGTTTTTATCACCTTTGTTCCATTTTTAAAGGTACGGGATATGCTTCTGGTAAAATTTTGAACAGCATCATCTTTGCCGCCTCTTGGTACTCTTGAAAGATATTTTTTATGTTGAAAGAAGTTTGCCTCCTGTAATGCACCTTTTCTGAGGGTGGCTTTATATGGTCCAGGAACAAAGCTATACAAGCAAAAGAAGAGAAACATCATAGGAGATAAATGCCATTTCAACTTCAGTAGACTATATTCATCTGTCTTCCTTCCTAAATGAATGGCTGCACCCATTGCTGTGTTGCATCCCTCCTCCATGGTCATTAAGATTGTTAAACCAAGAATTTGCACTAGCTCATATAGCAGAGGCTATAAAATGAGAAGTTTTGTCAAAGTATGTAAAAACATAAGTTCAGCAGCAGAATCTTCTCTTCATGGAACATGTTCCACCCAGATCTTCATATGGTTGGCTCCTTCTGATTATTCAGATTTAGGTTCAAATGGTCAGAGCCCGTCAAATCTCAAGTGTTCCCAATCCCAGTCCTGCTCTGTCATGAATTGAATTATGTCCCCCAGGCCATGATTCCTGGTATTCTGTGGTTTTCCTATAAATTGTAAATCCTGCCTCTATGACGTTAATGAGGGAGGATGGGCCGCAGTTGTGTTAGTAAGGCAGGACTTAGTCTACAAGATTGGATTGTATCCTGAGGCAAGGTCTTGAGATATAAAAGACAGAAGTGAGCAGTGAGACAGGGGGACCTCATACCATCAAGAAAGCAGTGCCAGGAGCAGAGCGTGTCCTTTGGACAGGGGTCCCTGCGCCGAGAAGCTCCTAGTCCGGGGGAGCACTGATGAGAAGGCTGACGGAGAGAGAAAGACTTCCCCTGGAGCTGACACCCTGAATTTGGACTTTTAGTCTACTTTGACTGTGAGGAAATAAACTTCTCTTTGTTAAAACCATCCACTTGTGGTATTTCTGTTATAGCAGCACTAGCTGACTAAGACATGCTCCTAGTCACTTAGCACAGCACATCCTTATTATCTTCATAGGACTCGGTATTGAATTTTTATTTACTTGTGAGCCACTTTATGATTTGTTCTCTACTCTTCCACCCACCCAGACAGAAAGTAAGTTTCACAAGATCTTCTCTGTTCACTACAGTAATGCCAGGATTCCAGGAGAGTGTTTAGTACATAGTAGATAATAATTATTTGTTTAATGAAAACACGAATGAATGCCACTCCTTTCCACCCTCTCTCCCTTCCGGCCATCCATCATCCATCCATCCATCCATCCGGCCATCTGTCCATCCATCCTTCCAAATGCCTACTAAATGCCTACTATGGGAGGCACTGTGTAGAGGATGTAAAGTAGAGCCCAGTCTGGCAGGCACGTAGAGTTTGATTGTGAGTAGTGAGTAACCCAGCAGTGAAAGAGAGCTAGAGTCAGACTCTGGAAGGCCTTGAGTGCCAGGTTGAGAAGTCAGGTAGTCATAGAAGTCAGTGCTGACTAGACGTTATAGAATGTCCAATAAAACCTTGTGTGATTATGGAGACGTTCTATAATCTGCACTGTCCAGTATGGCAGCCACTAACCACATGTGGCTATTGAGTACTCGAAATGTGGCCTAGTGCAACTGAGGAACTGGATTTTTAATTTCATTTAATTTTAGCTGATTTAAATTTAAATATCCACATGTAGCTAGTGGCTACTGTATTGGACAGTGCAGGAAGGAAGCCATTTTAGACAACCTCATTTTACAGGGATGTGGTGGAAGGACCATTGGGTCTGAAAACATGCTTATATTCCAGCCCCACCACTTATAGCTGAACAGCTTGCAAATCACTAGAGTGATCCTTGTTTCTTCAAGTATTAAATAACCCATCTTGTGAACAACAACTGAAGCCTCCAGCTTCTCTGTTGGTTACAGATGAGGAAATTCAGGTGCATAAAGGTGAAGGTCAGTGGCAGAGCTGGGCCTATAACCCAACTTCTCTGATACTAAGAGTCCAGTGTTACTTTCACTAAACTAAGTTTTTATTCAGGACACCATAGAGAACTATCAAGATATTTGGAGTAAGAAAGTGAAGTGGAAGGCAGGAAGACAGATGGCCTGGGGCAGTTTGGACAGTTAAGAAGGTTTAGGAGGCTGGCACATGGCAGGCTTTTCATAAATACTCATAGAATGAATGCGTGAGAGCCTGGTGGCACGAGAAGAGAGAGATTTATCAATAGTGATAAACCTCAGCAATTAGCTGAATTAAGGTCAAGGGATGATTCAAGAGAACTTCAAAATGTAGAGACAAAGAAACTGTGGCAATATTCACTATGATCCATTTCTTCACATTTGGATTTTTCTGTTTCTCCAAGCTATAAAATCTGACCTCACTCACAAACCAAGCAAACGTCAATATTTACAAAATGAGTACAGTGAAAGGTATAGAAAGAATTTAAACTATAATTGTTTTTCTCTGTCTCTCTCACACACACATTCTTTTATCTTCACCTATAAAGAGATTTAGGGGTAAAGGAGACATCAAACCAACATATGTTACATAGACCCTGAAATCTCCATGCATTACGTACTATATGTCTGGGCTTCTGAAACTTAAATCTCAGAGTTTACCCCAATTAACTTCTGCCAGTGGTATTAGGGACGTCCTAAATTGACCAACAAACTTCTCCCAGTTACCAAGAATAGCAGCCATGACTAAATTTCAGTGCAAATACAGTTTTCTCACACTCCCTGATTTTTGTTCTTCCCCATATTTTCCTTTTTTTTTTTTTGTGCTTTAAGTGAAAGTTTATAATTCAAGTTAGTCTCTCATACAAAAATTTATACATACATTGTTATGTGACTCTAGTTGCTCTCCCTATACTGTGACAGCACACTCCTCCTTTCCACCCTGGACTTCCTGTGTCCATTCAACCAGCTTCTGACCCTCTCTGCCTTCTCATCTCACCTCGGGACCGGAGCTGCCCATTTAGTCTCATGTATCTACTTCAGCTAAGAAGCACACTGTTCACGAGTATCATTTTATGTCCCATAGTCCAGTCTAATTTTTGTCTGAAGAGTTGGCCTCAGGAATGGTTTTAGTTTTGGGCTAACAGAGTCCGGAGGCCATGTGTTCCGGGGTCCCTCCAGTTTCAGTCAAACCATTAAGTCTGGTCTTTTTACTAGACTTTGAATTCTGCACACCACTTTTCTCCTGCTCCATCAGGGACTCTCTGTTGTGTTCCCTGTCAGGGCAGTCATTGGTGGTAGCCAGGCACCATCTTCTAGTCTTTGGCTGATGAAGTCTCTGGTTTATGTGGCCCTTTCTGTCTCTTGGGCTAATATACTTTCCTTGTGTCTTTGGTGTTCTTCATTCTCCTTTGCTCCAGGTGGGTTGGGACCAATTGATGCATCTTAGATGGCCGCTCGCTAGCTTTTAAGACCCCAGACACCACTCACCAAAGTGGGATGCAGAACATTTTCTTAATAAACTTTTTTATGCCAAGTGACCTAGATGTTCCCTGAAAGCATGGTTCCCAGACCCCTGCCCCTGCTACTCTGTCCCTCAAAGTTTTTGGTTGTATATTCAGGAAACTTCTTAGCTTTGGTTTAGTCCAGTTGTGCTGAGTTCCCTTGCAGTGTGTGTTGTCCTTCCCTTCATCTAAGATAATTCTTGGCTACTATCAAGTTAGTGAATACCCCTCACCCTCCCTCTCCACCCTCGTAACCATCAAGGAATGTTTTCTTCTGTGTGTAAACCTTTTGAGTTCTTATAATAGTGGTCTTATACAATATTTGTCCTTTTGCGACTGACTAAATTCACTCAGCATAATGCCTTCCAGATTCCCCCATATTTTCTAATTAATTTCAAGAATATATGCATATTATGAAGTCAAATTCTCCAAAGTCATAATCGTCTGTGTGCACAGAACATGGCTCCACTGATCATGCAGAGTGCATTCCTTTGAGTCTGAAACACAGCGTTTTTGTGGATTGAGTATATCTTATCTATACTAGTCTCTTTTTTTCCTCCCTTTCCATTGGATCTCCTTTTTTTGCTTTTTATGGCAAGTTTAGTAATCTTTGTTATCACCCTCCCTTTCGTTAAGAAAAGTTGGTAATTTGGTAACTGCTTCTATAGCATAACATTGCTATCTTTTTTTTTTTTTTGTCCTTCAGATGTTTTTATTGTCAAAAGGCTTGAGTATGTTAAATACCATATCTCTGAATTTCAATTTTTTCCCTCTGTCATGCATAGGAGTTTGTATTTGATAAACCTTTAATAAGAATCATTTGATTACTCAGTCGGGGCATCATCTAGACTTTCTCTTTCTCTTTGTCCTCCTCTGTGTTGTTCGGATACTTCTTTGCTGATTGATAACTCCAACAATAGCAGTCAGGAGAAAGAATCAGGAATGAAATACCAGTCAATTCATTTTCTAACTTGTGTCCAGTTCTAGTAAAGCCTGTATGATAAGGCAAGACGTGGCAAACTCTAGACAAAATGAGGTGGGTGGGACTAACTATAGATTTCAGTTCTCTGCGATCACAAATTCCTCTATTCATGCAGATAATCAGGAGTCGGCCGTGCTGCATGCTGCATTTACTAGTTGACTGGATGCATTGGAGTAGAAAATTCAGACACGATCGCTTCTATTTCCAGAATTCTTTTTAGCTTAATACATATCTTATGAGTCAGGAAACATACTTTGGAAAGCAGAATTACAACAGATGTATTATTCATATGGCACTGGTGACTGTGTCCATTTTTACAATTCAGTTGTTCTGGCTCTGGTCTGCCATCCGCTTTAAAGACTTGGCACAAGTGCTTCCCTGCCTGGGTAAAGCAATAACCAGGTGGCTTTCTGTCTTTTATTGTCTCTAAGCGGATGATCTAAGTGCTTACAAAGAGGCTGCCCTGCAATCTCACCCTCACTGGCCATCTGTCTCCCAGGTTGCTTGTGGTTGATTAAGTGCCTTTGATAAGTATCATCTTCTACCTGTATTTCTCAAAATCTCATAGCAAAATGATCTAATTCTTATGCAAGTCATTCTGAGGACCTGACAAGTCATCTTTATGGCCAGACCTCCCTAGCAGGCATTCTCAGCTCCCTCAGTCCTGTGTGTTCATTTCTGTCTCGCTTCTCTGAATGGCTCAAGCAGGGAGTTGCAGGAGCAGCTGTGTGGCTTGTTA